CTCCATCCCATATAGGTTGCAAACCGTACTTTTGCCCAGTGTATTCCTGCTCTATCTGTTACCTGTCCATTACTGTACAGAAAAAAAAAATACTGAAGATAGTTTGGTATTATCTGAAGTTTTAAGCATACACTGGGAGTCTTGGAACATAACACCCCATAATTTGTAAAGCAATATGCAGTTTAAAAGTCTACAACGCAATACTATACACTGGGTATAGATATGTATGTTACTAAAATTGTAAAAAATGTAGAAGAGAAAAACACACATCAAGAATAATAATTATCTCTAAGGTAGAAAAGAAGATGGGTAGAATTAAATATTAAGATATAGCAAAATACTGACATTTCCTAAACAATACAAAGTAGATTACGAGAACATGTAACATTATTTTCCATATGGCTGAAGTATTTTATAGTTAACAAAATCATTGGGTTTCTTTTTTGTCTCTTTTTGAGACAAAGTCTGGCTCTATTGCCCAGGCTGGAGCACAGTTAAGTCATCTTGGCTCATCACAACCTCCAGCTTCTGGGCTCAAGCCATCTTCCCACCTCAGCCTCCCGACTAGCTAGGACTATAGGCATGTACCACCACATTTGGCTAATTTTTCTGTATTTTTTGTAGAGATGGGATTTTACCATGTTGCCCAGGCTAGTCTCAAACTCGTGAGCTCAAGTGATCTGCCTGTCTTGGCCTCCCAAAGCGCTAGGATTACAGAGTGACCCACCGTACCAGGCCAAAATTACTGTTTTATAAAGAGGACCCTAATTTTGCCACATGGGTAACTTAATGTTGATTAGATTTTTTATTTCTGATGCGCAACAATTTTTAAAAAATCTAGAGTGCTTAGTGATTAGCTACAATTTTACCATTATTGAGCATATGCTGCCACCTAGCAAAACTTCCCCGAACAGTTTAATAACAAAACACAAACTGGTTCTCTTCTTACAAACAAGCCGTAATTTAATATTTCAGGAAAAAAATTATTAAAAAGTACTATGTACCTAAACATGACATAGGAGTTTTGTAACTTTGTAAGTGCAAACAAATATGGTTCTTGGCATTCTTATGTTTTACAGTATGTGGAGGAAACTCATTTTGTTCTCTTGCACTTTAGTTTCTACATTTACTGTTTCACAAGAAATGAAAGCAATTTTTCTAGTGAGCTTATCGGTAATTTGCTATCAAAGAATAAAATAATGCCGATTTTATACATAGGCCTTTGGCCTTTCTATGTAATTAAAGTACTTCATCAGACTGCTTCACCTCCTAATTCTGATTTTTACATACCACTGCTGCCTAAAGAAAACAGATGACTTGAGAAAAATCTAGCTCTAGTTTTGCAAAGTATTTACTCACTAAATCCTATGGCACTATTGTTTTCAATTGTGCATTTCTCCTTCTCTAGTTATAATGGAAAGGGAGGAAAAAAAAGTCAGAAGATTTTCCCTCTCATTTGAACATTAATTGACAATTATGCTATCCATGCTTTCATCTGCCCAATATATATGCGTGTGTGTACATATATACATACTTTTTATTACCTGTAGACATGGTACTGTGTTGGAGGCTAGGGAAGCTGCTATAAAAAGGAATTAAAAATTCTCTCTTAGAAGTAGCAAAAATATGCAACAAATAATCATCAACATAAAGTAAAAAGTGATGGTTTATTTTTTAGAAAAGTAAAGATAAATTTTTACTTTAGTTCACAAGAGTAAATGTACTCTAAGAACCTGAAGTCAGGAAATACTTAACAAATTGGTCAGCTTCTATCTTTGGAAAAATTTTTTTATAAGAATATAATTATTAAGGGTAGGAAATATTGAAAGTCAGCACAACTTAATGGGTGCCTCTGCAGGCAGGCATTTATTTTCTCAGAAGACATTCTGGGAAATTAAATATGCTGTAAAATGAGACTGCCATATACCTTTTGTAAAGAAAAAGTTGTGATTAAAAATTATGAAACAAGAATTCCTATAAAATAAAATCATAGCCATTAGTACAAATAGCCCAAAGAAAGTGCTAAAGATTTATAAACCTTTGCAAACCTAATGAAACAAAGGGACTCTTTTCCCAAGACAGAAAACATACAAACACAAATTTACAAATAATTTCAGGCAGTTATAGGCCCTTTGAAATGCATCCTTAAATTCTAGTTAAGAAGAGTTAATCTGGGGTGGGGAGAAAAAAAAAAAGAAGAGTTAATCTAAGATATTAAGGATCATGAAAACGGTGTCTCACATTATTCTTTCAACACATAGGTATTGGAAATATGATGGTGAACAAAAGTTTACAGTCAGGTGAAGGGGAAAGAAACTTCTCGCAGACACACACACTCACATATACAAAACACTATTACAAATGAAGAATAACAAATGAAGCAGGATTAAGTATTAAATGAACTAATGAGAGAAAAAGGAGCATGTGCAAAGATCTGCAGCCGGTTATGCCAGGTAGTAGAGGAAAGACAATGTAGATGAAATACAGAGACTGAGGGAAGAAAGTGGTAACAGAAAGTGGAAAGATCTCCCCTTGTTTGGACTGGTTTTTTACCAAAAGTAACAGGAAGTTCTTAAATGGATTCTTTTTTTTGAGACAGAGTTTAACTCTTGTTTGCACAGGCCAGAGTGCAATGGCATGATCTCAGCTCACTGCAGCCCCCGCCTCCCTAGTTCAATTCTCCTGCCTCAGCCTCCCAAGTACTGGGATTACAGGCATGCGCCACCACGTCCAGCTAATTTTGTATTTTTAGTGGAGATGGAGTTTCTCCACGGTCAGGCTGGTATTGAACTCTCAGGTGATCCACCTGTCTAAGCCTCCTGAAAGTGCTGGGATTACAGGTGTGAGGCACTGTGCCTGGCCTTAAATTGATTTTAAGCAAGAGAGTGACAGATTAAGGTTTTATAGACAGCACTCTAGCTGCAGTATAGAGATTAAGATTAAAGTCTGAGAAGAGTCAATGTAAGTAGTTGGGAGGCTACTACAGTAGCTGCACTAGGATTCTAGTGATGATGGAAAAGAAGTGAAATGATCTGAAAGCGAATTCAAATTATTTTTAGATCCATTTTCTCCTTGAAGAAGTTGTTAATTCATTTCTTCTGCCTATTTTCTGAGATGGTTTCTCTTAATTTCTATGAGGTATTTTATATTAAGGGCACTGGCCCTTTGTCATATTTGCTGTATTTTTTTTTTCTAGTTGGTTGTCTTTTTTCTTTCTTTGGTATGTTACTCAATTTTTATGCAGATAAATCTATAACTGTCTTTCCTTTCGTGGTTTTTCCACTAATTTTAAATTATAATATCCTCCATCATCTCCACTTTTTTCTGTCCTTTTTATCACCTTCACAGTAGAACACACTAGACTTCAGTGGTGGATGTGTGTAGTTAATGATTTCATAAATCCATTTAATCATATGTTATACGTGATAGACACAAAAACACAGAAGACAGAAATAGGTACATAAGTGTTTCCAAAGGAGAAAGCAATTTGGATGAACAAAGAAAAGACACCTAATCCAAATTGAGGTGAGTTAATGAAGGTTTCCCAAAGGTCAAATTTTAACTGTTTTGAAAAGAACTGAAGTTAGCTAAGTGGAAAAAGAGTCTTAAGTGACCTATTCCCTGTCATTTCCATCATCAAAGTCATTACAAAATTTGATATGATGCTCCCTAGCATTGAAATCTCAAGGACATTACTCTGATCTTTCACACATCACAGGTAACCTCATGTAAAATAGCCCACCAAATGCTTTCTGGCACAAAGCATAAAACTTGATGCACATTTATGAGTAAACAGTAACTACTTTCAGCTTCCCTCATCAGCATATCCAGTACTCCACTGGAGTTCACATCAAGTTCCCATCAGTCAAGAGTTACCTATCTCTATATTACTCACAGGTTTTTCTGGTACTACCCCTTTCCTGCTTATAGTTGTCCCTCTGCCTGGAATAACTTCTTCCCCTTTACCTAATCACTGACTGCAATTCCTGTCTAAGATACTTAAAGACCAAGGACAAGTATCACCCACTTCATTTTGCCGCCTTTGAAAACCTTTCTGCATTACTAGTTCTTGGGGATATTCTTCACATATTGTTCCGTAACAGGTGGGTATTGCTTAGCTCTCTTGACTATAGTTTACTAGAAAATATGAAACATCCCTTACACTACTGTGTGTAATCTAAACAGTGACTTGCTCATACATGGGACAAAGAACTTCCTTGCTGTATGTAACTATGAGGTCCTTACTCGATCCTTACGTTTCCAGCTTACTTTAAGACTTCGGTTGATATTACTTCGTTAGATAGAAGCAGAAACCGGAAGGCGGTAAGTGGTAGAAATAGTATTTTGTTGCCATTAGCATGTTATGGAAGTGACGGTGGTGAGAACAAATATCTGATGAGAACGGACTGAAGAAAGAAGCAGAAAAAAAGAATTGGAGACAGCAAATATAAACAGCTCTTTATTGAAGTTCTGTTGCAAATGGAAGTAAAGGAAGAGGACAGTAACTGGAGGAGGAAACGAAGTACTGAGCATACAGTCTCATTCAAGATCAGCAATTTCCTAGAAGCTACAGGTCTTCATTTCTCCCTTTCATTTTTGACAGGCAATAAGGAGCCGGTAATGTGTACTGAAAGCTTATTAAGGATCAGGCACTTGCAAACACTTTACGTATCTCAGTTAATCTCACAACAACCCTGGAACAAACTCCCCTGAGTTCCGCATTACGAACAATATTGAACACACACGCTAAAGGATCTTCCCAAAGTCTCACAGACATAAATTCGTGGGGCCTGACACATGTCCCTCACTTTAGTCACCTAGAGACCGAGAAGGGAAATGACCGGTTGCCAAACTCCAAGTTGAGGGAAACCCACCTGGGCCCATCACGAAAGTTCCCCCAGACGCACCCTCTAACAGCGCCTCCGACCACGCGTCTCAGAAGAGCGGATTTTGAGTACCCTCAAAGTCAGCCCCACAGGTTCCTCAACCTCGGCGCTTACCTCGTTATTGAGGTTCAGAGTTCCCGGCAGAGCCATGGTAGATGGAGGACTATGATCCGCCGCCGCCTGCACGTGAACTGGGCCTGTAGGATCTCGGCTGCGTTGCCACGCCCCACAACGGGGGCCTCTCAGGTCCAAAACTTATCCGCCATCGGCTCTAGCTGCCGCCCGGGAAAAAGACGCCCGGAGAGGAAAACAGGAACTGAATTAGAGGAACTTCCGGCGCAGAGGGCGACGCGACGGAATTGCGCGTTCCTATAGAAACCGGACGGGCTGGTAGCTGGGCAACGCCAAGGTTTTCAAGGTGTGTGTGTGTTTGTGTGTGTTTGCGTGTTCACTTAGTACACTGCGCCCACTGTGTGTGTGTGTCTGTTTTCGCTTAGAACACAGCGCCCGCTGTGTGTGTGTGTGTTGTGTGTGTGTTCGCTTAGTACACAGCGCCCGCTGTGTGTGTGTGTGTGTCTGTGTTCGCTTAGTACACAGCGCCCGCTGGGCAACGTCAGGGTTTTCAAGATTGTGTGTGTGTGTGTGTGTGTGTGTGTGTGTGTGTGTATGTGTGCGTTCGCTTAGGGTTTTCAAGATTATGTGTTGTGTGTGTGTGTGTGTGTGTGTGTGTTCGCTTAGTACACTGCGCCCGCATTGTACTGGCCTTGGTTTTTCTCTCCTAACGGCGAGGGGTCGCTCCACGACGGTGAAAGAGCTCTTGTGAAGTGATCAAGCACTTGAATGAACGAATTTTTGCTTCCATTTTAAAAATATAGTGTTTGTGAAGATTTCTGCTTTTCTAAGAAGCATGTCTTTGTAGATCCTGACAGCTTTTTGTTCCAACCTCACATTAGCTGAGGCGTGGACATTTTTTTCCTGCACACTAGAAAAAGGTTTAAATTTAGGGAATCAACATTTGAAACAAAACCGAATGCACATTTGCTACTGCCTATGTGAATGGCTGTTTAGAAATATTAGCCGGCAGGCATAGGAGACGTAAGGGATTGTGTTTGAATAAGGTAATACGTAATTGTCAGCACGTTCTAGTATTCACCATTAAAATGTGTCAAGTGTTGTCCCAAGAGCTTTACATAAATTAGCTCCAAATCTCCACAGAAATCCAACAAGGTAGGAATTATTATTCATTTATTATTATTTTGTTAGAGACCCCGTCTCTCCCTGTCACCCAGGTTGGTGTGCAGTGGCACAGTCATAGCTCTCACTGCCGCCTAGAACTCTTGGGCTCAAGCCATCCTCTAATCTCAAGCTTCAAATAACAGGGACTACAGGCGTGAGCCACCCTACTCTGCTCTGAACTGTTATTTTACAGATGTGGAAACTGACTTCAGAGGCACCAAGTGCCTTGCCCAGAGTTACTTGCCTGGGACTGGCCACTGCTACAGAATTTCAGGTCCAGTTACATAATATGTGGGGCACATTGCAAAATGAAAATCCAGGCCCCTTCGTTCAAAATTTCTTCCATAGTTCCTCTTGACTCTTCATGGTGTTTTTTATTGACTATTTAATGTGATGTTCTCTAAAGTACAGAGACACTAGGTTAAGAGGGAGAGCCCTGCCCCAAGACTCAGGTAGGAGTGCATGCACAGGAGCAAGCTGGCAGCAGTTGCTGAGTGGGGACAGGAGAGCAGGAAACCAGAGACTCTACCACAGGAGGCTGTCTGGACAGGACCACACATGACCTGAGACAACAAGCCCTTGGCACGTGTTCCATTATCCCACTGGGCTTCACTTACAAGTATACATTTTGCATATAAACACATAAGAAAAAATGTTAAATAATCAAGATAAATATAGAACTTTGTAAAAAATGTGTCTTCTAATTTGGGAGAAAGGAGTTATGATTTCATAATGCTTCATAATGTATCATTAATACAAAATTTGCCTGTAGTTCTGAAAAGCTTTGCAGTCGTTTCTCTTGACCACCTCTTTTGCTCCTTAAAATTTCAAGGGTTTTCAAGATTATGTGTTGTGTGTGTGTGTGTGTGTGTGTGTGTTCGCTTAGTACACTGCGCCCGCATTGTACTGGCCTTGGTTTTTCTCTCCTAAAGGCGAGGGGTCGCTCGACCGGTGAAAGAGCTCTTGTGAAGTGAGCTCTTTCTAAACCACCAGTCTCCTCAGGATCAGCACTTGCTTGCTTGTTTTCCTCCTTAGCCCGTGCTGTCTCCTTTAGCTATGATACTTCCTCTGCCATCTGCTTTCTTCAGTGCTACTCCTCAAGACCAGGTCAAATTCCATCCATCTCTTTTAAGAATTATTTCCACAGCCCAAAAGATAAGTTTAATTTTGCTCACCAGAGGCTCATACTTATAGTAATTATGATAGTCTAATGTGAAATTCTTTATGTATTGGTTATTCTTTTACATTAAAAGCTTTCAACAGCTGTAGGTACTCTTGTTTTTAAGGAGACTAGTATTGTCCCATTTTCACAATATTAATGTGAAATCATTTGTTCCAGATATATCACTTCTAAGTCCAAAGTCAATCTTCCTACTTCTTGTTTCCACAATTTCAAAAAATATTTTGTTTGATAATAAAGGTAGTTCTACTAATTGGCTTTCATTAAGCTATGCCCATTTTCTCCAGTAATAATAATGTATTTGTATTAATTAGGCTGAAAGTTTCTCTAGAAAGCAAACTGTCTCCCTGTTTTATTCTTGGAGGGCTGACATGGGTCAATTAAATACTGTCAGATATATGCAATGACAAAGCCATTATAATTGAAAGCAACTCGTTTGAAACTTTTATCTTTTTAGTGCAGTGCTCCAATTAGTGGAACTAAGAGTCCATAAACACATTCAATAGAGATTCGAGTTTTTCAATGTCAAGTTCCTCAGCAGCTTCTCAGATCCCACTAGTCTGCTGGGAGTACCATTAAAAATACCATAATCTGGGTAGCTTGCACAACAGAAATTTATTTACGATGCTAGAAGTCCAAGATCAAGGTACCATCAGGATTAGGGATTAGTTTCTAGTAAGAGCTCTCTTCTTTGCTTGCAGATAGCCACTGTTTTGTGGCTACAACCTCATGTGACCTTTCTGCTGTGCACATGCAGAGAGAGAGAGGGCTCTCTGGTGTTTTCCTCTTCTTATAGTGGCACGAATCCTATTGGATTAGAGTCCTACCATTATGACCTTAAAGTTAATTACATCCCTAAAGGTTTTATCTCTGAAATAGCATCATATTGGGGGTTGGGTCTTCAACATGTGAATTTGGAGGGTGGGGGAAATAATACATAGCACTCACTTTTCTTGAGAATTCTTTCATGATTACATCAAAGTAATCTCTTTCTTATCTAACATGCTGGATTACTATTATTCTCATTTTGCACTTTTCTTAAATTTTAGTCATACATTTCTTGATTACAACTAAACATGGATGCTTAGCAATCAGAATAAAAAAAGCATACTCACACATATATGGACAAATGATTTTTGAGAAAGTTTCAAAGGCAGTTCTGTATGGAAAAGGTAATCTCAACAAATTGTGCCTGAAAAATTGGATATCTATATGAAACACACACACACACACACACACACACATACACACACACACATACACCACTTTCACCCGCATGTAACACCACCTAGTAAAACAACTCAAAGTGGTTGAGTTTATATATAAATGTAAAAGCAATAAAACTTCAAGAAGAAATCATAGGACAAAAACTTTGTACTGTGAGGAACTACATACTAATTAATTGGAAAACTTGGAAGGATAAATTCCTAGACACATACAATGTACCAAGATTGAACCATGAAAAATAAAAAACCTGAATAAACCAATAACCAGTGGTAAAATAGAAGCCTTAATAAAATGTTTTCCAGCAAAGTCTGAGACAGTGGCTTCACTGCTGAATTTTACTGTGCACTTAAAGAAGAACTAAGAATAGCCTTAAACTATTCTGACAAAATAGAAAAAAGAATACTTCCAAAGTCATTCTTTGAAGCCAGTATTATCCTAATACCAAAGCCCTAGACACATCTATAAAAGAAAACTACAGACCAATATATCCGATGAGCATTGATGCAAAAGTCCTCAACAAAATACTAGCAAACAGAATTCAACAGCTTATTAAAAAGATCATTCATTGTGACAAAGCAAGATTTATCCCAGTGATGCAAGGATGGTTTAACATATGCATATCAATCTATGTGATACATTGTATCAACAGAATGAGTGACAAAAAATGATAACTGATGCTGAGAAAACATTTGATAAAATTCAACATTCCTTCACAATAAAAACTCTCAGAGTATAGAAAGAACATATCTCAACATAATAGAAGCCATATATGATAGAAACACAGCTAATATCATAACGAATGGTGAAAACTTGAAAGCCTTTCTGCTGAGATCTGGAACAAGACAAGGATGCCCACTTCCACCACTGGTACTCAACATAGTCATGAAAGTTTTAGCTAGAGCAATCATGAGAAAGAAAGAAAGAGCATCCAAATTGGAAAGAAAGTAAAATTGTCCTAGTTTTTCAGGTTAAATGATCTTACATTTGGAAAAACAACATCTCCACCAGAAAGATATTAGAACAGATAAATTGAGTAAAGTTACAGGAAACAAAATCAGCATACGAAAATCAGTAGCATTTCTGTGTTCAGTGAACCATCTGAAAAAGAAATCAAGAAAGTAATTCCACTTATAGCTATAAATAAAATTAAATACCTAGTGATAAATTTAACCAAAGAAGTGAAAGATACCTACAATGAAAACTACAAAACATTGACACAAGAAACTGAAGAGGACACACACAAAAATGGGAAGATATTCCATGTTTATGAATTGGAAGTATCAATGTTTTTTAAATGTTTGTACTACCCAAAGCAACGTACAGATTCAGTACAATTTCCACCAAAGTATCAATGACATTTTTCACAGAAATAAGAAAAACAATCCTAAAATATATATGGAACCACTAAAGACCCAGAATAGCCGTAGCTAGTCTAAGCAAAATGACTAAAACTGGAGGAATCACATTACCTGGCTTCAGATTATTCTACAGAGCTATAGTAACCAAAATAGCATGGTACTAACACAGAAATAGACACACAGACCAATGAAACAGAACAGAGAACCCAGAATTACATCCACACATTTCAGTGAACTCAATTTGGAAAAAGGTGCCAAGCACATGCATGGAGAAAAGAACATTTTCTTTAATAA